CTTAAAATACACTATGGTATAGAATTGGTAATTTGGTATACTAAGTGTAATTAAGTCAAACCTAAAACATTGAGAGTAATAAGCTTTCCTATGTGGCATAGGAATGTAAAAATTCTTTTAATATAAATGCCAAGTAAAGTGAACGGAGGGACTACGGACTAAAATCCAAATTTAGCAATGACCATAAGACTAAAGTGTCATTTCCTAAATAATAGAACACAGATGCGCGTGTGTATAAATTAATATAATCTGCAACTTGATATTTTGGCATAAAGCGAGTGGTAATAAGAATAAGTCAACTAACCAACTTAAGAGCAAATAGTTAAGAGCAAATTTCATGAAAAACATACACCTAATAGGAAATTGTACAATATTTTGTACCAAAACATGCAGATACACCTGGAGAAGTTAGCTGGCACGTCAAGATCTAATTATAAACAATGCAGATACTTGCTTTTCATTCTGATAGTCATTTATTTTCCTTGCAGATAATAATAAAGAATCAAATATGAAATCTTATCTTCATTGAGAAAATGTCATAATAAGAAGTTAAGGTGAAATCACAGCTTTAATAAGTCATTATTTGGATCATTGAGCACAACATGTTTTTCAGAACTAGTGAGACCGGAGAATAAAGGGGCATTTCAGCAACTCACTTACCTTTTCATCATTCAAGTTAAAACTGCAATTTTCCTTGGCTTTAAAGGAATAAAAAGCATTCAGCAACTTTTAAATGGTAACATCAATATGCATATACTTGCAATGTCCAGAGGCCCACAAACTCTTCAAGAAATCAAAACTTGCAAGTAATAGCTTATAAGTTTACCCGTATAACTCATCTGCCTTAACTTGTAGCCGTATTGATGGCAAAATGGATAAAAGAAAATAGTTGTCCCCCCATATTATTCATTAAAAAATTGGTTGGATTATGAACTTTTTAAAAAAACGGGTCAAATATGGATAAGAACTATATTATCCATTTAGAAAATGGATAACTAATGAGCTTAATTTTTACATTTGTAAAGCCTCAAATTGGGGTTCCTCAAGTTTGGGAGACTATGAATTCTCCCAAAAGTGATCATATTCAAGAAGCCATATTATCCGTCGGTTAGCCCATTTTTTATCCATATTAAATATGGGTCAGGTCAGATAATTTATCCGTTTTTGCATTACCCGTTTTCGACCTGCCCATATCCGACTCCACCTGCTTGTTTGTCACCCCTACTTGTAGGTGATCATTTCTATTGGTCTGGAAACAAAAGGTGTTTCTTGCTTTCTTTGCCCTTTACATGGGATTGAAATGTCCTGTCCACCCTTTCAACTTTTTTTTCTTCTAACCCTCAGATTTCTGAAGCTCACTAATCCGGATTCGTGCCTAGTAGGGTCCATTAAGGGAGTAAAGTATTCCCTGGTGAATGGTTCTCATTCACAGTGCATGACCTTTTCAAATTTCGATGGTGACAATTAGCATATAAACCAAGCTCAGTATGAACTACCTTGTGCAGTGACAAAGAGGGCTTCAGCATTTCACTTCACCACACGGAGGGAGTCACAGAGAAAATCCACAGACTTTAATATAATGCAAATATGGCACTCCAAGCAAAGTTCAGTGGCCAGATACCACTGCCCCTTGAAGAAAGTATTATAAGATCAATCGAGCCAAGCTATTTAGTACTAGTATTCTTTAGTGCTCCATCAGTATGCATGCTCTTAAAAGGTATTCATGTCACAAATTTTATCCTACTATAGCTTCTGCGAGATTGACGCTTTTCCAAAACAATCCAGCTACCTGTTCCATAACATGCAATTCATTTAAAGTTCCACCAGGTGATGGCATTTTACCATCAAAACTGCACCAGCACCTTGAAAATGAAATCTTTTACCAGCTTATCGATGTTCCTATAGGTAATTGATTAGCATCAATTACCTACATAATATACACTGATATCAAATTTCTTATTCTATTTGAAAGCATAACATCATGACACATTGGCCCAACATTTTTCTGTAGTTAGTTAGTGTGCCTTCACCTATATTATATGGCCTGATCAGTTCAACACAACACTCCCTGCAAAACAAAATTAGCACCCAAACCAGCTCGGAGGGACAATGACCTTTCCAGAAATTTCAGAAAATGAGTAGTAATTGGAGTAATTAGAGCCACAACAAACTGAATTCCAACATAGTAAAACAACATTTTGGTGTTCCAAAGAATAGATGCAAATAAATTAAGACGAAGAATCAAACTTGATACAACTGGTTTTTATAACTAAGGGTCCAGTCAGAATCTGCAGAAGAAACTAAGCCACCACCTTCAGTCCATATGGACTCTGCACATAAATTAACTTCTGGGGGAGGATCCTTTGACTTTCCATTCCGAAAATGCTCGTGTTTGTGCTCTAGAAATTCAGGAGACTGTAGACCACTCTCTGGTAAAAGATCATTTTCTTCAACAAGATTTGTATTTGCATTAGCGTGACAATAACCCCCGTTTTCATCATCTGATAAGCATCTGCAGCAATCTAAATCATCCGTCTCAAAAATCCGACTCACTACTCCATCCCTCCATGATATCCTCATTTGAGATTGTGATACATTATCTAACGTAGAATCAGAAACCCAGGAGGTACTGGTAAACTTAAAAAGCAGATTAGGCTGATCCCAAGCTGATGTTGTCTGAGTCGTAGGTGATAAGCTTGTTTTCTGAAGACATTCTGCCACTGAATCAAGTTCAGACCTAAAGTTCTTTCCACGATCACCTGAATGTAACCATGAGAAGCCACCACTCTTGCCTGAGCTCGATTCTGATTTGGGGGTTTGAATAACATTCCCACTGCTTAAAGAAGCCGTAGAGCAAGGAGAATTCTCTCTAACAAGACTGCATGAACATTTCCACTCATCCGGGACTTTTACATCATTACAACAAGATATAGCTTGGGGAAACAAATTCCTCTCCTGCTTGTCATATGACGAATCTTTAAGTTCAGAACTTCTTGGAGAGAGCAAAATAATCCGAGCTTTTCCACCACTTCGTGCCACATCCTGATTCACACTATCACTGTACTTTCCTCTGTGACGTACTAAACCAAAAGAACTACCAGAACATGTTGAAGTTGAATACGGCATTTGAGACGTGGCAGATCCCGTCAACATTCTAAATTCGCTTTCAGAATCGCCCTCACAAACGTCATTATTCTCGCGGCGTGGAGATAGAAGCCAATGCATAGAAGCCTCGGCAGGCAAAGGAATCAAAGAATCCCTACTACACTTACAATCCTTTGAGCCACTGGCTTTTTCGCAGTCAACTAAAGTTCCTATAGTAAGAATACCTCTAGGCTTACATTTTCTTTTATCACTGACACCAGAGAGAACATGGCCAGCAGCATAACAAGGTGTTGCAGCTGAAACCAACACATTTGATATCCCACATTGTATCTCAGGAGACACTGAAGCCTCAATTGGAGGTGTTTTCGTAGTATTACTACTAGTTGCATTTGAGTTCTCTCCTATATTAGTATGATTTACTAATTTACCAAGAGGAGTACAATTTGCATAACTAATTAAATTACTATCTAAATCCAAAAGCTGAATATGCTCACCTGAACCATTTCCTCCCTCCTTTTGCTTCAAACTCTTCCCTTTAACCCCAATCCTTGCTGACCCAAATGCTGATTTCTTCACAGGATTGCTCAACTGAGAATAAAGATTTGATTTTTGGGAGGTGGTTTTTTTCCCAGATAGGAAAGGTGGGATCCTTTTGGGTTTTTGTGAAAAGGGTCTTGGTAAATCATTCTCATTGGTGGATTTAGATCTCAAACGTGAAGATTTAGGCACTGGATTTGAAGTTCCGTATAAAAATTTGGGCTTTTTTTGGAGAGGAGTTGTGTAAGAAGAAGAAGATGATGAGGAAGAAATTGAATTTGAAGAGATGGACATGGAAGAGGAAGTTGAACTACACTTGCTTTTACATTTTGGAATAACATTGAGATCTTGCAAAGGGCTTCTCTTTTCACAACTCCATTTCTTCTGCTTTTTCTTCTTGTCTGTGTTGGAATTTTTCTCCATTTTTGATTTTGTGATGACAGTAATGGTCTGTCTAATTGGGACCTTTTTTAAATCAGTGTTAACTGAATGGAGAAACAGTAGCTAGGGCATAAGATTGAGGTTTTGTGTACTGTGAAAATGGTGGGTTTCAAACTCAGAAAAAGAGGATTTGTTCTTTTGTGTAACGTCTATCTTAGATCCTGAACTCCGCTTTTGTCAGTTTGTGACAGTGCCTTTCGGACTGGCCCATGTATTTCCTGGGCTGGATGTTGTACGTTTTCAGCAATATACCACTCAAACAACAATCAAATAGCCTTTCATCTAATCCCTTAAATCAAAAATAATCCGCAAATATATAATATATGTATAATTCATGTATCACATGTATAGGGCAAAATATATTGACAATCCCTTAAAGTTATCCACACTTTTCACTTAAACATTCCATATTAAGTTTGTTCCATTTGAACACCCCAACCACAGCTCAAATATGTCTGCTAGATACGATTTGGTGATATGGCATTATGCGCGTCGCACACTTCTTTAGAGAGCGTGACATGTATGTATAATGCTATTGCTGTGGGTCCCAAAGAATAAGTGCCAATAAAAAAAATCAAAGCAACTTTTTTTTGTTTCACCTAACCATCTTGTTACACCCCATATTTGCGTGCGTAGAAGTACGACATAAGTAAAGTGATGAAAGTCCGGAAATGAGATATTATATTCCGTATTTTCACATGTTAAAGCGCCGTCGTACGTTAAAGCTTCGTCATAAGATTAATCGACGTAAGTTCGGGAACGAGATTTATTTTGGGATTATAAGTATTACACTATTTCAAATAAGTGATAGGTAAATTCGTGAAGATGAGAAGGGAAGCGAGTCACAGAAAATAAATTTTCGTCCAAGTTTGGCATGTTGGGATAAAGTACGAGCCGAGCGTTAATACACGATATTTATGGACTAGTACCATACAAGGTACTACATGGCCATGATAGTAAGGTGTATAAGGTATATTGAAAGTGAATAGTATTTTAAGTAATTTGAGATAATTCTTAATTGTGTGGATAATTGGTTAATTATTGAATTAGTGGGATTAATAAATTAATTAAGATATTTGGTGGATAATATTAAGGGAGGCACTACCCCTCAATGTGGCAGCCAAGAATTTTATATGAAGGTGACTCTTGAATTCACATGAAATATGGTAAAGTTTGATGCATTTTGTGGCCAAGTCTTGCTAAGTGGGGAGAAGGGGGCACACTCAAATATTAAGAGAAACATTCCTAGTTCTTAATGGAATCTCTACAAAGCTCAAGAAAGGTTCAGCAAAACAAAGTACATAAGCATTCATATATTTCCATCTTGGATGAGATATAACGTGACTACTATTTACATAGCAGAAACACAACATCAAATGGATATAACTTCAACATGAATTTAAATTGTAGTAGCAGCCAACGGTCACCCAATGTTTACCAACTTCAAATTATTCTTTAGCAAATTAAGTTCACTGCTGCAGTGAAGATTTTTATTCTTCAACCAAAATCCAACGAGATTTCTTAGCACACTAGCAACATGAGATTTTGCGATTCTAAGGGAGTACGGTGCAACCTTTTCTAAGAATATCATAAGGATTTTTCCCTACTCCAGGTATGTTAAGGCTATCCCTTCTTTCTTTTTGGCATGATCCAAATAATACAAATGAAACGAGCAAAATACGCAACTTTCATAAATGACTCTATTCATAGAAATACTCGGGGTATCTATATTCTTAATTCCCCACGTGAATTATTAGTATATCTTCTGTGCATGAGTCTCGGAAAAATACGTATTTGATAAAGTTTATCCGAAAGGTATATTGATTTTTGTGGCATTCCAAAAAAAAATTTATTAATGTATTTCATATGCATTTCATGCATTTATACATGCACATTAACCCATGACCAAATGGCGTTATATATGCGTGTGTGTGTATGTGTATATATATATNCGCCCTCAGAGGCTTGATGATAATATAAACCCACGTACTTATGCACGACATGATATTCATATGCATTTGCATGAAACTATAAGTATTTCATGATTTACAGAGTTGTCCTTACTTACAGGTTGAGTCATGTACTCTATATTTCTTCCATGTCTTTTATGCACTTATTTATGTGCCTTACATACTCGGTACATTATTCGTACCGACGTCCCTTTTGCTTGGGGATGTTGTGTTTCATGCCTGCAGGTCCTGAAAGACAGGTCGAGAGCCCTACAAGTAGGCTATCAGCTCAGCGGAAGATGTTGGTATGCTTCATTTGCTTTGGATTTGTTTGTTTGGTTAGTATGATTTAGACGTGTATTGTTTGGTATGGAGGGACTTTGTCCCGACCTTTATGAAAATTATGTATTCTTAGAGGCTTGTAGATAGATGTCATGTGTGTAAAAGATTGTATGGACTTGTCGGCCTATGTTCAGTGTACAAGTGGTTATTTTGGTCTTATAGGCCCGTATGTCTTACGTATAAGTTGGTATTATATGTTGTATTCTACTTAACTCATGGCAGCCTTCCGGCTCAGTTATCTATGATAGTATGACATAAAAAGATATGTTATGTTGGTACTCGATTGAGTAAGGTACTGGGTGCCCGTCGAGGCCCATCGATTTGGGTCGTGACAAAAAGTGGTATCAGAGTAGTTCTGTCCTAGGGAATCTACAAGTCGTGTCTAGTAGAGTCTAGTTTATGGGTGTATCATGCACCACACTTATAAGCAGGAGGCTACATGGCATTTAAGACTGTCACTCTTTCTTCTTACTCTAGATTGTGTGATAAAGCTCAGTTGTAAAAATTCAAACTCCTAAATTTGATTTATTCGTAACACGATGATACCTATATTTAGAAAGACGATCAATAAGTGATATAGCTGTGGAAATGTTGAGTTAGAGGAACTCAATTTTGCATCTTGCTTATAATGAGTAAATGTGAGGTCTTCAACAGATTATGCGTGTACTAAAAGGTGTAAGGTTCTTAATAAAGAGCTTTAAGGAAGGAATACTTATCCACTCATACGGTAAAAAGGAATAACAGGATCGGAAGTTAGACACAAGTTTCAACAAGTAAAAAAAATCAAGGTGAATAAGGGAACGAAGTACCCACTTAATGAAGATTATCGGTATTTACAATTCAAAAAGAAAAATATCAGCGTTTTGATTTACCTTCAATTGTAAGAAAGGTATGTACAATTGGCCACATCCATCTCATTTATGCCCTATAGAAGCTAACATAAGTAGTACAAGAGAAAGACGGATAGTAGGATCCGGCTAGGGTTAGAGTGACCCAAAATGGTGGATAGATTATTTGCATTTCCAAAGGATAAAGTGCTAAAAGATCTCCTTGTGAGACACCCCGATGGTGCACTCTAAAATAGTATAGCTAGCTATGGGTACTACAAGGATAGGCACTGGAAGCCTGAAAAGGATAAATATCATCTTAGTATGACTCCCCTCCCTAGTAGAGAGATAATGTTAAGCAACCCGAAGAGCCAGTGGATGGAGCAAAGGGGAGCTAAAAGCAAAAGAATATCATATCGGTAAGTTTTTCAGAATAAAGTAATAAACAGAAATGATAGCAGGAAATAAGAAGAGAGTGTATTATGAGTAAGATGTGATACATAGATGACAACGGTAGATCAAGACAAAAAAATAACAATATTACAGAGTTTGTAGTCAAGTGAAGGAAAAGACAAGAAGTAACAAGCCTTGAGACAACAAAAAAGTACAGGCCATAAAGTCATAACCTCATTCGAGAAACAAGTTCGTGAACAAAAGGAAAAGTTAGACCCCCAAAGTAATACAAATCAGAATGGCCAGGTGAACAGGATAACTAAACGTGAATTAAGGACTGAGTGATTGGATAATAGTCAGCATCATCAGAATTTCAGATTTTGTCCCGGCATTAATAGAATGGACAAAGAAGAAAATTCATGAGAAATTCAGAAAATGGTCATTTAGGAACACACTTCCCTAAAGCAAGCAATGTGAGCAAAGTTAATCTGAAGGGACTATACGTTCCAGTTACACTAGGTGTCTCCCTCTTAAGTAAGGAAATTTGTTATCCTTGGTACAGAACGATTACCGCAAGGCGAGTAAGGGTCATCGATAATGTGAAAAGACGCCAAAGATGAAGAGTTAAAACATTTATATGTAGATCATCATAGCACTAAATGTTAGTACCCCCCCTAAATGGAGGATATGGAGTGATGTCCCATGAAGTCAGAATTAAGTGGTGCTAGTAACCATGGAATGGTAAAGGAAGAATGCAGTAAAAACGAAAAAGGAATGAGATTACACTTATTCAGCTTCTACGTATATGCTACGATTCCAGAACTTGAAGTAAACATGACGCCAAGGAGAGGAAGTAAGGGTTTCAGCCCGGGATGTTATTGATAAATAAAGAGCCAGCACAAGATATAAGTTAAGACAAAGGAAATAACTTAAGAAAGACTACGCGGAGTATTGATATGAGAGTGGACCAACGAGCAATTAATAGTTGATTCAGGAAGAGTCTAGTTATGGCTAGACAAGAGGATAAAGACAAATCAGCAGATCAATGTAAGATAAACACGGGGAACCCCAACATGGGGAATTCATCCTCGCAGTTATGACATTGTAATACTTGAGATATATTCGTATAAGAGTTGGGGAATTTAAAAAGGTATTGTATGAGTATTACGGAAATAAAAGAGAATGCCACTGGGAAGACAATCAAAATATCAGTTCAGAAGCAACCCTACAAGCACAAGGGCATGGAGGTAAGTAACTACGGATAATTAGAGGTGAGGAAGAACATCAAAAACTCCATCGGGTATAAGATGTAATAAGCTCGTAGCTTTACAAGAGTCAGAGGGTCCTCCTTAAGTACTACAATGAAAGACTAGTTGAGGAAATAAGAAAGAAGGCTTCAACCTAAACATATAAACTCGAAGTAGAAATGGTCATGCAAAAACAGTATCACTACAAAAATTGTATGCACTCCAAAAGAAAGTGGCACCTACCATGGCCAATGAACGGGGAGAAAAATCGAAGGTAATTCGAGACCATATGAGTTGCACAAAAAAAATTCTGGCATGCGTGGGAACTAGGATAAGTTAAGTATACACGCAACAAGGGGCAGAAAGACC